CCACCAACGGTGCCTCGTTGTACAGCGACAACATTGACAGTCCATGGCGAGGGACTTGCTCTCGCCGCCGACTATTACCCACGTTCTGCATTGCTCCAGATTAACGTAACCTACGCTAAGCCCTTCCTGTTGACGACAGAGAGACTCGCGAAATGGCAACCCACCACCAGCATTTCCCGCCAAAACCGACCGTACCCCCTGAGTGTAACCCTGAATTTAGTGGACCACATGCATTTGTGTAATTGATGTGCATGTTGAAGCGACGCACCATCACTCCTTGAATTCCGCATTCTGCAACGGACAAAGCGAATGACGGCCTCAATATACACTCGTCGAGTAGCAACCAGGTCCAAAGCCTCTGTGAAGGGGACCTTGAAGTACGCTGGCAGCGGCTTACCGCGAACCTTGGGATCATTCGCGTCCCTTACAACCTTCAGCTTGCTCTGCCTCGCCTCAATCTCTTTCATCGTCGCCTGTACCACATTAACCAGTCAGTTTCTACACTGCTTAAAGGCGTCAATATCGTCCCTCACCTCCTCGTACGATAGTCCATTTTGCTTCATAAACTGTATCTTCTCCTCCCTTGTCAACTTATCTAGGCGATAACTACATCAAAGATCCCATCAAACCGTCAGCAGTAGCATCTCCAGGTAGAGGCCACTGTCAACTTACCGGAAGAGTGTGCTCTCTTGTGTGAGGAACCATCGACGCAGCTCTTCTGTCTGGCAGAAAGCCATGCGGAGAAAGAAATGGGACAGCACGTCCTTGGCCGCGTCGTCCTCTGCCTGGCCCGTGCGTCTAGGGGCAGCTGAGCGCAGCGGCATGTGCTTGTTGAGCGTTTTCTCTAGACGACCCTCACGATCCTTCATCTGCACGCTGCGCAGGCGATAGTTCTCCACCGCCTTGAGTACATGCAGTCGGTCAATGGCGAACTCCTCGAATTGCTCCAGCGAAACCTCCACCAACGGTGCCTCGTTGTACAGCGACAACATTGACAGTCCATGGCGAGGGACTTGCTCTCGCCGCCGACTATTACCCACGTTCTGCATTGCT